GATCTGTGCCACAATCAGCACCCAGACTGGTTTTCACTGCTGATATTGAGCTTCATTGCAAATACCTTTTATAAGAAACATAAACGCAGGCTATATACATGGATCTCACCTGATGGTATGCATAGGAATCAAATCGATTATATTTGTGGATTTTTACACAACAAGAGAGGATAAAATTCATGAATGGGACCTTCTAAAGATTAGATAATATCCGTGGTCATCAAACACTTTTGACAACAGGGTTAAAAGAAAATCTGCTGATTGGGATGTACTCTACAGTCTTAAGTTACTTAACATAGTGCTCTCCCAGGTTGGGTAGTAATTTATGAAATGATTGCTTCTGTGTGCTGTGTAGTATTCTATTGTATGAATGTACCACAATTTAAAAATCAATTCATTTGTGGTCTGACATCTGGGCTGTTTCCAATTGCTGCTATGAACATGGGTGTACAAGTTTTCATTTGAGGCTTAGTTCTCATTTTCTTGGGGTATATTCCAAACAATGGAATAGCTAGGTCTTATGGAATTTCTATGTTCATCTTCTTGCTGAACCAACAATGCAAAAAAGTTCTTATCTTACAACATCCTCTCCAACATTTATTACTTTCAGTCCTGTCAAACTTTGCCACTGCTGCTGGAGTGAGATGATAGTTCATTGTGGTTTTTATTTTCATCTCTCTTATTGCCAGTAATTTTGATCATTTCTTCATATGTCTGTTGGCCATTTGAATATATTCCTATGTGAAATTTCTATGTGTTTTGTCCATTTTGTAATTGAGTTATCGGTCCTTTTCTTCTGGAGGCCCAGGAGTATTATACATACTGTCATTATGAGACTCTTGCCTGAGATGGTATTACCAAATGTTTCTTTCCAATCAATTGGGGTTGTTTTGGGTTTTTTTGTTGTTTTTTCCCCCCTTGCCCTGTTGGAAAAAGTTTTTAATGAACACAAGGATTTCATCTTTAGAAGGTCCCATTCATCAATATAATCGTCTTCAGATTGTATATTTCTGGCTGTATTTGGCAGTCTCTTTATACCGTAGACTAGGACTTCTACACTTGATCCTAGTTTATCTCTTAAGAACTTTGTGATTTGGGGCTTTATTGCCAAGTCTCTTAGCCACTTTGAGGTGATTTTTGTGTATGGTGTAAGATGTGAAACCTATTTCAGATTTTTGCTGGTAATAATCCAGTTTTGTTGAAGAGGTTGTTATATAAAACCATTATTATAGATAAACCAATTACAAAATGGGCAAAAGACATGGAAATAATTTTCACAGAGGACATTTGAATGGCAAACAGACACAGGAAGAAATGCTCCAAATCACCGGCAATAATAGAGATGCAAATCAAAACCACAAAAAGGTACCATCTCACTCCATTAACAGTGGCAAAGTTTAACAGGGCAGCAAGTAGTAGATGTTGGAGATGTGGTGAGAAAGGAACTCATACATTGTTGGTGGGATTGTAAAATGGTGCAACCATTCTGGAAGGCAGTTTGATGCTTCCTCAAAAAGCTGAACATAAGAAATTCCATATGACCCAGCTGTTCCACTGCTTGGAATATACACTGAGAATATGAAAACTGAGGCACAAACTGAGATTTGTACACCAATGTCCTCCATTTGTTGTTGTTGTTGTTATGTGCCGTCGAGTCGTTTCCGACTCATAGCGACCCTATGCATAACAGCCCTAAACCCTGCTCTATCCTGCGCCAACCGCACCGCCTCTGACGCACCCATCCCGATTACCCCAGGCACTGAATCAATCCATCTCATAG